TATCTCACAAGGTCACTCAAAGTCAATAAAAGATTTCTTTAAGATCTTACATTAATACAAAATCTCTAAAATATTCCCATAGCCCGAACAAAATATCTTGATCAAAGATATACATTTAAAAAAGAGAATCAATCATGTGATATAGAGTTTTATTTTGTGAAAATATAGCTCCATAATTTTAACATGCATCGTATCACACCTTACAACATTCAACATCATATGTGACCTTCTTACTAATGCCCAAATTACCATCAAATTCTCGAATGCACGCCACACTTTCTCTTGGAACATAAAGATCTTTACAACTCCCCTCTACCATCTCTTATCTCGCTTTCCCATAGATACTTCACACCTAAAGTTGCTCTAATAAGAGGATCCTGCAAAAACAGTTTTTATTTTTTTCTAAAAAATATCAATTGTATGCCACAACAAGCTTATCTCTTAAAATTACGTGTAAATTATAAAAATATAAGTTAATTTAATCCCATGTCAATTATGTTTAATAATTTTATTAGATATGTTGTTCTTAACATGTGATAAAATCCTTTCTTTTGTAATTTGCGTAAATTTTATTTTTTTTATTTTTTTATTTTTTTAACACTATCATCGCCGGTCTCAAGCCCGAATGTGAAAAGTGGAGAGTTGTGTTAGGTAGTTGACAGTCAGCGTAAAACTTGTCGAAAAAATCATGACATGAATTTGTTTGATCACGACCCTGGAAGCAACGCGTTGTATGACTTGAATACAGTGAAAAGTGTGCAAGGGCCGCTACACCGGCGCCCCGGTGTAGTGTTAAATAAGCAAGGGTTCTCACATTACAGACGGATGCAGGTAAAGAAGTTAGTACATGAAACTAATGTAACTAATATCATGATAGAATTTTGGAATATAAATACTCTCAATTGTAGATTAATGGAATTAGCTGATATTATGATTCATAGAAAGATTACCTTATGTATTCACAAGACTAAATAGGCTGAAAAAAAGGCTAAGAAGATTGACAACTTAGGTTTTAAACTTTGGTATTCTAGTAAGAGCCACACTAGAAATGGTGTAGGTATAATTATAGATAAGATAATTATAGATAATAATTATAGATAAGAGTTTGAAAGATAATGTTTTAAAAATTAATAGAGTTATAGATATAATTATAGCCCTTAAGATTATTATTATTGATAATCAGATTTTTAATATCATAAGCGTTTATGCTCCTCAAGTAGATTTAGAAATAGAGTCTAAAAACAAATACAGGAATGACTTAAAAGACTTAATACAAACTTAACTCTTGAAGAAAGAATTTTTATTGGAGGAGATTTAAATGGACATGTTGGTAGAGTGATAGAAGATTTCAGAAACATTCATGGTGGCTATGGTTTTGGAGTGGCTAATGAAGAAGGTAGAGCAATTTTAAATTTTACTTTAACATATAATTTACAATTTTGTTATTATTAATATTTTATTCAAGAAAAGAGATGAGTATCTTATTACTTATAAAAATTGATATAATAAAACACAAGTTAATTATTTTCTTATGCGAATAAAAGATCGTAGAGATTGTAGAGATTGTAAAGATTGTAAGATCATTTCAATTGAGAATTTAAGTACCCAACATCGATCATTAATCTACATTTTAAGATGAAGCGTTGTAAAATAAATAACAATAGGACTCGTCATCGTAGAATTAGATGGAGGAACCTAAAAGACAAATAAAATTATTTTTATGAGTACAATTCAAGATTTCAAATTTTGTGATGTTCATGAAAAAGCAAATGTTATGTGGGATAAAGTAACAAACACAATTAAACAAATAACAAAAGATGTACTTGGAGAAATAAAAAAAAAATTTATATAAAAAAAAAGAGTTGGAGGTGGAATAATATTGTGCAAGAAAAGATAAAATATAAAAAGTTATGTTATAAAATTATTTGAAATATAAAATTTTAGAGAATTGAGAAAAATATCAAACGGCTCGCAGGGAGTCTAAAATAACAATCTGACGCAAAAAATTATTTATAATATATTTGATACTAAGAAAGTCGAAAAATATATGTATAAACTAGTCAAACAAAGAGAAAAAAGAAGTAAATATTTAACTCAAGTAAAGTGTACTAAAAATGAAAATCAAAAAGTGTTTTTCTTATAAAAAGATATTCAACATAGATGAGTGAGTTATTTTGATAAACTTTTTAATGAAGTTTCTGAAAATACGATCGACCTTAGTGACCTTAATATCATTAAAAATAATAAAACATTTCATTTTTTACCATCGCATTAGTAAAAAAGAAGTTTACGAGGATTTAAAGAAAACTAAGGGTGGAAAGTCTGTGGGACCTGATGATACCTTGATTGAACTGTGGAAAAATTTAGGAGATTTGGGAGTTTCTTGACTTACTAAACTCTTTAATATTATTTTAAAAACTAAAAAGATGTCTGAGGAGTGGAGGAAGAGTGTTGTGGTCCCCATTTTTAGGAATAAAGGGGATGCATAAGAATGTGCAAATTATAGAGGAATTAAGTTGATATGTCATACTCCAAATTTATGGGAGAGGGTAATTGAACATAAGTTAAGACGTATTACAAAGATTTGTCACAAAAATTTGGATTTATGTTGGGCAGGTCTTCTATGGAAGCTATATATTTATTGAGAGGTTTGATGGAGAAGTTCAGAGATAATAAGGAGGATCTACATTTGATATTTACTGATTTAGAAAAAGCTTACGATAAGGCTCCAAGAGATATCCTTTGGAGAGTTCTTGAGAAGAAAGGTGTTGATATGACTTATATCCAAGTCATTAAAGATATGTACTAGCACTGTGTTCGAATTGAAGGAGGATTGACCAAATAATTTCTATTTCTGTTAGATTACATCAGGAATCAGCTTTAAGCCTATATCTTTTTGCTTTAATTATGGATGATCTTACTGGACAACTACAAAAGGATGTACCTTGGTGTATGCTTTTTTGTTGATGATATCGTGGATAAGATGATAAAAAGCCAGGAAAAACTTGAATTATGGAGGTCTACATTGGAGTCTAAAGGCCTTCATTGGAGTACAACTAAAACTGAATAAATTGAATGTAATTTTAATAGTAGTAGCTCTAGTGACAGAAGTATAACTTTGGGTGCTAAAATAATTAAAAGGTATGAATGATTTAGATATCTCGGTTTTGTTGTTCAAAGCGATGGTGATATAGATGGGGGTGTATATAGTAAAATTCAAGTAAAATGTTAATAGTAAAATTCAAGTTGGTTGGTTGAAGTGGAGGAATGCTTTGGGTCTTTTGTGTGATAGAAAAGTACCATTTAGAATGAAAGGAAAATTTTATAAGATGGTAGCGAGAACTAGGGCTGTCAATTTGGCTCGTTGTTCATGAACAGCCCGTGTTCGGCTCCGTCAACACCCCGCTGTTCGATCTCTTCTTTACAGCTCATGTGACAATGTGGTTAGTGTCTTTCTTGGTATAGATTTGATCCAGGTTTGAATCCCACACTACATCTATTTTTCTCAATTTTAGTTTAACGAGCCAATTTTGAGCCAAACACGAACACGAATATTTAAATCGAGCCGAACACGAACACACTGTTCACGAGCCGATTTCG